AAATCCCAAGTTTCTACGTGAATCCTACAGTGCTGAGCTCCCCGCAGATGGTCGGGCTGGCGAGCTGCGAGTGCGGCCAGAACCCTTAAAAGCCGTTGATCAGGATGAGGGGATCTGTGCGCCCATCCAATACACCATTGTGCAATCGCAGGATGCAAAGTATTTCCGCGTGCATCCACATAATGGAGTGATTACACAGCTCGCTCCCATCGGTTACTCAGACCTTACGCATGGGGCCACGCTGGTGGTGAAGGCTACGCAGATAGATAATCCGGATCGATACGCTCTGACCACAGTGCAGCTAACCCGGCCGGGCACCCACAGTGATCTCAGCTCACTCGCGTTTGTTCAGAAACGTTTTGTGATGCGCATACGCGAGGATACGGCTGTGGGCAATCGCATCCTGGCCCTGCCCACCAACAAGCCTGGCAAGCACCTGAAGTACACAATTGCAGATCCAATCAATTCGCAGTTCTTCAGCATTGGATCACTGGGGGAATTGGTGCTAGCAAAGCCGCTGGACTACGAGAAGATGACCAAACACGAGTTCCAGGTCATAGCTAGCGATGGCCTTACCAACAGCACGACGGCCGAGGTCACACTGGAGGTGATTGATGTCAACGACTGGGAGCCACGTTTCCGGGAGACGCACTACGAGTTTGTGGTGCCCAAGAGCGTAAGTTAGAGAGGAGGGATCCAATGAATATGAATATTAATGAATAGTTCCAATCCGATTCCAGCAGTCACTGCAGTCACGGACTGACTCTTTTGAGGGTGTGCTAATTGGCAAGGTGGAGGCGGCGGATGGAGATCGTAACGACAAGCTGGAGTTGTCGTTGCGCGGCCAGCATGCGGGTCTCTTCGAAATCGATGCAACGGGAAACATTTATATGCGCCCGGAGCAGCTACAAAGTCTGAACGAGTCCACGGTCCACCTGATTGCTATTGCCACGGACTCGGGTGTACCGCCACGTAGCACCTCTGTCCCAGTCAGCGTCACAATGGAGGGACTTACCCTCGCCCAGTCCGGCTGGAACAACAGCATGCTGGGCATGTTTGGGATGATTGTGGGTCTGTTCCTGTTGATCATCGTGGCGCTCAGCTGTTATATCGTGCGTTCCAAGAAGCAACGGAAGAGCAGCCCCGGCGGGCTCAGCCTCGGACGCAATCGTGTGCACAGCCAAGCGCACAGTAGCGTGTCCTCTGCCAACCTGGTGACACATGAAAAACTGGCGGGCAACGGCAATGGAGCCACTGTCACCAGTGGTGGAGTCTCCGTTCTGCATATGAAGCATCCCAGCAGCAACATCAGCATGGCCAATCCAATTAACAATGGGCTGCATCATGTGGGCAATGGCGCCAGCAGCAGCATGGTGCTCAGCAGTGCCAGCAATTTGTTGGAGCGAGAGCGTGAAAGGGAGCGCGAGCGACAGCGGGAAAGCTATGCGGCAACGGTGCGCAGTAAGTATTGTCCGATTTAATCCCCACCATCCCAATCAGCCCAGAACATTCACTATAAGTAGTCTTCTTACCAGGCATCGTATCGCGCGCCTCTGCCAACGGGCAGCTCTACGAGGAAGACGAGATCGAGCACGACTCCCTCTCGCAGCASGGCCAACAGCAGCAGCAGACGACGCCGGAGAACAACAATCGCAAGACGGTGGCCCCTGTGACGGGAGGCATCACGACGATCACTACGACGGCAAATGGGGCTGTGCATGGGCGTGCAGCTGCTTCCAATCTGATGACCGCGTCGGATACGATGGGCTCATCCGAAAACAATTTGACAGTCTACTTCTAGTTGAGTACAAGTTAAGCTGGAGACGATTTCAGCCTGTAAATATTGCTTACCTTAATATAAACTTTAGTAGGTCTTAAGTCCAAGTCGCGTTTAGGTTTTATGCCCAATCATTGTAAATGTAGTAGACCAAATATAGCATTGTAAACATCCAGCACTTGTAGTTTAAGCAAGCGATTCCATTGTACAATTTTGCTACCCACTTTTTACGATACCTTTTAACGACAAGCTTAAGAATAAACTCTATGGAACTAATTGGATAATATAAGAATTCATTGACTATGACTGGTATTAAGATTCATAGAGAAGTTTCAAATTGACGTGGAACTTAATATGGTTTATATATGTGTAGTTTGAAACTGATTTTTAGAATCGATTGCTTTTATTATGTTTGGTCTTAAATTCTAGTTCGTTTCAGCATAATGTGTACAGCTTTGGCATGCAATTTTTAGGTAACGAAACAAAGGTGAAAGCATTTGACTTATGGACTAAAACCAGGAAACATAAAAAGGACTATTAATTGCACCAAATACCAAACAGGAAAGAAAACTTATTTGGGAAAAATAAATTACATTAATTTAGTTAATGACAGATAGATGAAAAGTATCCTTTTGGTTCTAGGTTCTAGCTGCCATTGCGCGTCTTTTTACGCTTAAGTAGATTGAAATCTCCATATTTTATGTGATTGTCGGTCAGGAATGGCACGTAGAAGGCGCGCAGCACCTTGTGCGATTTTTCCGGTATGAGGAATGGCAAGGATTTCATGATAGACCAGTCCTTCGTTCGCCTCGAATAGCTCGGCTCGAGTGTTGTGTATTTACCCTCATCGAAGTCCAAGAGGAAGTGGCACTGATCGTAGTCAAAGTACATGTGCTCGTTTTCCAAGTTCTGGTCGTTGAAATAGGGATGCACCACCTGGGTGGCATTGGCGCCTTCCGTGTAGTAAGCGGGCAACATGCCGCGGAACTCCGACTTCAGAAAACGCAATCGGAAATTGCGTGCCGGGAAAAAGAAGCTGCCTGGATAGCGATACCAGTCCTTGCCAATGCATACGTTGTAGATTTCATCCGGACGATACTGTGGCGAATTCTTAAACTGATTGAGCTCCAGCATTAGATCCATTGGCGCATGATAGTTCCGATAGAGAGCAAATACTCGCGAGAGACCCAATAAAGTGCTAGCCACCATCACGATAATTGCAATGAACATGCTGTGGTCTAAGTAGTGAATGCCCGACTTGATCTTAAACACCAGCGTCTTGATACGGAAGAAGATGCGCTGATAGACGTCCACAGTGATGGCGCCACAGAGGGAGATCAGTGGGTAAACCGGAAACAGGAAGCGCTCCTCCTTGTGCGGCTGTGCCATGAAAACCACCAGCCAGAGATAAAGAGGCGCCAGAGATATATAGCGCGGAAAGTTGAGCGTCGACTTAAACTTGGCAGGCACAATCAGATAATCCATGAGCAGCATAAAGGGTAATTGGAGTGCCAACAGCTAAAAATGCAAAATACGCCATGAGGACTCTACTATCCCTTTAAGTTTAGTCCTGTTACTCACCCAAATAATATTGAAGTTGAGGAAACCATTGAGGATGTAGTAGCTGAGGGGCTCGGTGCCAAAGATGTTCGGTCCGTGGCTAGTGAACACATTATACCAAACAATGTTGAGCGGCGCAAAGGTCAGTTTGCCAAAGTATTTCGTGTCGATGGCAATCATGGGCAGTGCAATTGTTAGGCCAGAGATCAATGTCCACTGTATAAAGGTGCGCCAATCGCGCTGCCGAAACAGCAATTCCAGCACTAGTGGAACTCCAATTAGAGCCGCAAAGGGCCAGCCAAGCAGTGCCGAGATGGCGGTAAAGAATATGGCTAGGCTGTAGCGCTGCTGCCACCAGGCAGCTAGGGCAGAGCAACCAAAGTACATAGAAAACGAGGATGGCAACAGTGCAGTGCTGGACACAAACATGCCCACACTGAACAGCTGGAAGATCAGCCAGAGACGACCAACGTGTATGCCAAACTCCTGGCAAATAGATCTGCAAAGCAAGTCAATGATAACTGGGCTCAATCTTTTCAAGACGATAACTCACTTGTACATAAAGCGCTCCATGAGCGCACAGCCAAAGCCCAGCATGCAGCGAACCATATAGAAAATCAATATCGGACTTGGATTGAACAGCTTCTGATAGATCCAACCAGGAACGCCTTGCAGAAGCAGATATGTGTAGGAACGCAAACCGAACTGCGGGCTATACTCCCAGGTCTGCAGACCATGGCCGTTGATTATGTAGTGTAGCGGTTCCCAGTAATTGAAAGTCTCATCACAGTCGGAAATGTACGCCCAAATGGCGCTGCAGAGACGCGCGCTCACAAATGTTTTGAAGGCCGTATGAACACTGGGCATAATCGGATTGGGGCTGGACTGAGTCTTATCGGTTGCGTTTGGTGCGGTCGCTGAGTTTTTACTAACAAAATAAAGAGTGATTAGTTGTTAATGTTGTCATTTTATTATTATGCTGTATGTAAGCACTTCTTCTTCTTCTCCTTTYTGTTGCCGGCAACGGCGACACCGGCAGCATCTTTGTTGCCATTAAGACGTTTCGGTGGTTTTTTGGTGAGTATCTGGTTGTCCGCCTTGTTGGCATTATAGCGCGCCCTTGCCGCCGGAGGAGCCATATTTAATTATCCCCTTTTCCAACTGCTTTTTTTCCACACACAATTATCGCGAGCAGAAAATCAGCGTGTGAAACAACAACAGCTGGCAAAGTCTAAACCTCTCTGGTTAGTGTCTAAACGAAGCGAGTTGGCAAGCTCTTTTGGGAACATTAAATAAAATGCAATGCATAACAGATAAATTATTAACATAATATAGTCATCATACATATTGTACATGATATAAAATATTAAATTACTTCACCTATTAAGTCATTGAGATGTTAATATTAAACAAGAAGTATTCGATTCATTTGTTTACTATGACGTCATGTATTTTGGGTTGCTGAAAGCGCGAGTTTCTCTGCACAACCTTATCGTCATTGGTATACTTGACATTTCTTAGGTTTTTACCACGGTGGCAGCCCAAGATGTCCATATTTACATACATATATGATACATCGCCGGTTTTCTGCACAACCTTATTTCACTTTGTGGACATGCTCTTGCTGTAAATTTTTACCACGGTGGCAGCTCTGCGTTCACAGCTGGGCAATCGACATTTTGCGGTTGCATCTTTTACGTGCCGTTGCAATTAATAAAACATTTGAGCCTCAACATGTCTAAGGATGAGAAGGACAAAGTGCAAATCATCGACAAGGAGCTAGACCTGTCGAATGCAGGTCGTGGCGTTTGGCTAGTCAAAGTACCCAAATACATTGCACAAAAATGGGAAAAAGCGCCGTCCAACATGGACGTTGGCAAGCTGAGAATTAGCAAAACACCCGGGCAGAAGGCCCAAGTTTCACTTTCACTCACGCCTGCAGTGCTCGCGCTTGACCCCGACGAGAAAATACCCACAGAGCATGTGCTCGACGTGTCACAGGTTACAAAGCAGACCCTAGGCGTTTTCTCCCACATGGCTCCAACGGAAGCGACGACAGCCGCCGCCAACAATGGAAAGGAAAATGGATCAGCTGCAGCTTCCGCGACGCCAGACAGTGAGAAGCTATATATGGAGGGGCGTATCGTCCAAAAACTCGAATGCCGACCCATTGCCGACACTTGCTACATGAAGCTCAAGCTCGAGTCCATACGCAAAGCCTCCGAGCCACAGCGCCGAGTGCAGCCAATTGACAAGATTGTGCAAAACTACAAGCCAGTTAAGGATCATGCACACAATGTAAGACGAACTGCATCGACTATTTTGCTGCGACAGTTAATAATAATATCTTACAATTTAGATCGAGTATCGTGAACGCAAGAAAGCGGAGGGCAAGAAGGCACGTGACGATAAGAATGCTGTGATGGATATGCTTTTCCATGCATTTGAGAAGCATCAGTACTATAATATTAAGGACCTGGTGAAAATAACCAATCAGCCTATTAGCTACCTGAAGGAAATACTTAAAGATGTCTGCGATTACAATATGAAGAACCCGCACAAGAATATGTGGGAGCTCAAGAAAGAATATCGCCACTACAAGACTGAAGAACAGAAGGACGAGGAAAAGACAAAATCAGACGGCAGCAGCGATTCCGATTAGTTTTAGAATTTTAATTTGTATTGTTCCCATAATCTTTCAATTGTAATCAAGTACTCGGTTTAGCGCAAAGTAAATTCAACCTAATTTGTAACGAAATTCTCGAATTTTTAATACGTATTGTATAATTCCCAAACATCCCATATATTTCAAACAACTTGCGTTTAAGTTTCTTTTACTTTTTTCCATTGCATTTATATACTTTCTTAATATACTACAAAAAAAAAAAGTTGCTTTGTTTTTGCACATTCATAGGTATGTATATATAATATATGTGGATGTAAATAGATACATTTTTGCATCGGTGTACATAGTATATTTTTTTCTTAAAAAAAAAATCTTTTCGCTACACTAGGAGATCAGGTACTTGATTTTCGTAGTACTATTAGCTCTACATGATTTCCAAAATATGTCCTTTTGGTTGATTTAAATTTCATACATTTTTTCATTGAAACTTTTGCCTGCTGAAAGATAATTAAGGGAAAATAAATGATAATGATTAAATGAAATGAAAAACTAAGAAATAAATGAAAAATGTTGGATAAATTGAAATTGAAAAGAAAAAATAAAATGAAAAATATAAACAAAAATAAATTGAGTGTAAGAAAATTAATTGTGAATGAAAAATTAAATGTAAAAAAAAAAAACTAATGAAAAGTAAAATTATAAACAGAAAACGGTAAAGTTCAAATATAAGGAAATCGAGCCTAAATAATACTGCTTCAATTTGCTTTTTACACTAACGAACCTAAAGTAAAGCAATCTAAAGACTGGCAGCATAAAATAACACTAAAACTGTAATTAAAGTAAATAAAAAAAACTCTTAAAACTAGATTTTGTACATATGTCAAGACAAAAAAAAAAAAAAAAAAAGATTTCTATATATACATATATCGTCGAATATTGCATTTGTCAGTTACGCGGCCAACGTAGGTTTTTAACTTTGTTGAATGCCTGCGAAAGGGGTAGCAGCCCATGCAATATCAGCGGCTGCAATAAATAATTTAGTTAGTGGCTTTAAAATATTCGTGATATATAAATAAAACGTTTACACTAGGAATGGCTACGGGGGTGGACATCAAATTCTATACACTTATATACCCATCTATTCACATATGATACAAAATTCTTTATCGAGAGCCAGTCCATCAAACAGAAACTAAAGACACACACGAATAGTTAGTATACAGCGCCTGTTATGTATCTAGGGACCAGCTAGACACCGAAGATGCCAACCCCGAGTCGGCATCCTCCGGACGTCCATTTGCCTTGGGAACCGGTGTTATAAGTCGCACGTTGTTTACATTAACTGTTTTAAGACAGTGCTGTTGTTGGTGAAGCGGTGTTTTCGTTTTTTGTGATGTGCCCGCTACCTGTTTCCCTCGATGGCAGGCATTGTCCATATTGCCAATATCATCCTCCGGGTTCACTTGTTTCCTCTCCGTGCTTATTAAATTCATTTTAAACTGTTTCATCTCAATGGGCTTGCTTTTATCGCGCTTATCTATTTGTAGATCGACGTTGCGCTGATTCGTCTATTATAAAATATTTAAAATTGTTATAAAATACACCAAATAAAATATTGCATCAATGTGATTCACCAGCAGTAATGAGGACAGCATATAGCAACATAGTTTGGTTGGATCCTTATCCTCCAGCACGTCCGCCAAAGTGGCCACTCCACCTCTTTCCTGACACTTCGCTATTATCTCATCGTTTAAATCCCGTATACTAAAGTTTTGACGGGCGTGTGCTGCTTCCAATGTGGGCGCAAGCCTACGATGCCAGTCAATAATCTGTAAGTCATAACGATATCAGTAAAATGTGAAATTAAAACACCTAAAAGTACGCGACAGTCTCAACTTGACGTTACCTAATCATCTATAATTGACTTCCTAATACAATTATTTATATAATTAAAATTCAGGACTGCTAATATGCTTTAAGTCAGTAGAAGTAGACTGCTATCCAAATATTTCTTACCTTGGCGTCAGTCTCAGCGTCTATGCTATTGCAGTTCTCTTGGAAGGTCGAATTGCAAGACTCTGCATCCCAGTCTTGATCCAAGTCATTGGCTGTATCCACATTCGACAACTCAGTTATGTTTCCAGCTGGGGCATACAAAGAAAGTGTGTTTTCTTTTTTGATATTCTGGGCGATTGTATCGTCAGCAATTGGTTGTGTTTGATTTAATTCCGCTGCATCCAATAGAATTTCAGGTAAAGTCATGTCCTTCTCTGTTTGCTCTAAGCTTCTAGCTGGTTGAATTTCAGCTGGGTCCGATTCTTCTTCTATAGCATTCAAATCGGGCAATCCATCAGTGTCCACATCAGCGATAATGCCATCGTCCGCAGGCGAGTTTGACATTCTAGCCTCCTCCTGATCAATGCCTGAATCGTAAGTAGGACGCCTGAAGCCACGAAAGTCTACAAATGAGAGATATCAAAACGTTAAACTTCATAATCGACATTTTCTATATATTAGCATACTTTCGTCTGCATCGAATTCCATTTGATCCAAAGGCCAGTCTAAGAAACTACTTAGCGACGTCGAGGAATTCGTGGGCGAGGAGGCGCGGAAAATCCTAGGCGCCGGGGCAGCTTTCGGTTCAGTCTGTCGCTTACTTGGGATGCGCTGTAGATAGTTATATATGCATCAATACAACGATTATAGTATTGCTTTTACTTATAGTCACAAATGCTTACCGCTTTCTTAAATATATCAAACTCTTTGCTTAGCTTAAACATGCAATCTTTGCGTAGCTTTCTTTCAGGTAGCAGAAACAAATTTAGCCTAATTGCAAAGTGCACATCGCGTTGCACCTGGACAATCTCCTCCTCGATCGTTTCATTGATGCCGCTGAGTGCCAGCATTTCGGCATCGACACGAACGCTAAGATTCGCTTTATCTGGCACACCGGGCAATATGTCGTGCACCATTACCTTGGGTGACAGTGAGTGGAGACGCTGCTCCTCTATTAAATCTGCAAGAACAACACCCTCGTCATCAAAAGATTGAGCTGCACATTATTGGATGCAGGCAGCAGACAACAAACGAAATACATACGTAAATAAAAATAAAAAATAAACAAAGAAGGTGAGTCAAAAAATGTCTACAAAAGAAAAGATTAACAAAAAACTCAGCCTGATTCTCGTTAATATAACGCACGAGTCAACATTGAGCGTGTGTTTAGCTTACCTGCTGGCAGAGTATCGGCTATGTCATCCATCCCAATGCCGGAATCGATTTGCAGCAACTTCTCATTGTTCTCGTCGCCTTTGCTAGCTGAGCTGAGCTCTAATTGCAACTGACTGTCGTCAGAGTGTGACTTCTGATGCGTCTGCTGATCCAAGCGCGTGCTGTCCATGCAGCTGGCATCATTCACGGCTAGCGACGATTCTTCGAGATGATTCTCCATTGTATCCGCGAACGTCGTTTTGAACGAGTCGTTGATCATTGCCTCCGGCTGCGCACCACTCATATCCTCACTATTAACAACATCATCTGCTAGCCTCATACGCTTCGGACTTTGTCCACAACTGTGCAACAAAGGTTTCTGCAAATTTTCCAGCTCCAGTCGCAGGCGCTTCGCCTTCTCCTCTTCATCGGCAATCAACGTGCGTTTCAGCAACGACTTCTCCCCATAGCGAGAAGCTAGCATTTGATTCTCCAACGCTATGTACTCATCTAAGTATTCTTTATTGCTCATGTTCCTGTTTAGAGTGTCAGACACATTCACTTGATTCCTGTTCACATACTCTTTGATAAGATTTAGACGGTCAAACTGAATGTCCGGCAGAAGCGTATTGTATCTGGGCTCCGGATGGTACGTGAATACTTTGTAGTTTTTCTTCTCATCCTTTTCGAAGGGGTTGGCTGGATCCATAATCGAAGCGTATTTCCACATATGCGACGGAGTGTGATCCTGATACATATGCTCAACTGTACGGTTTCTATTTCTATTTGTTTCAAAGCCAACGCGACTAAAGCGCTTCTCTTCCGACATTATTTTGAATTTTTTCGGTTCCATCTTGTACGAAAATGGATCAAATTCCTTCTGTGTAAGCTTCTTAACTCGACGCTTCCGCGGCTCCTCCGGTTTGCTAGCATCTTTATTACTATAAAACGCATCAAGATTAATAAGTTTGGTGACGAAAATTATCTACACTATCATAACATGACAATAACTTCAAAAGAAAAACAAAAAATGAATGTAGCCGAAGAATCAGAAGAGAATTACGGAAACAGCGATAAGCAAGCATGATAAGATGTCCGACACAGACTGCATGGCGACAGATCTTCACATGATGAGCCGCTAACCACATGGCATTTTTTCTTTTTACTCACTTATTAGTATTCTCATCCTTTTTGGGATCTGCTATGAGCAGAGCTTCGATTTGATGCTCCACCACTTGATACATGTACTCCACTCTGTCGCCATAGACCTTGCTGCAGTATTGAAGAACATTTCCGGCGGCAGCAATGACCGAACGGCGCGGCACTTTTGATCCGGAGACTTGCCTTAAGAACTCATCCATATACTAAAAATACGCAAATGCGATAAACCGCATATAATAAAATAATTCAGCTACTTACATAGGATAGCGACAAGCGCAAATCTGTCGAGAAATCTGTATTTTTCGACACCTCTTCCAGGACCAGTAGAAGCGTTGCCAGACTGGCAGACTCGTGGTAGGCAAGAATTGCCTTAGCCACATTGGTGCTAGGCCTACTATTTGCGATTTCCAGCAAATGTTTTATTACATCACTTGTCCGAGCCCTGGGTGCGTCTGTAAGCAAATATCAGAATATCAAATATCAGTGCCTATTGTGTTGATTTGGCTGGTTTATTTTCTTCTTGGTTTGGCGACAACCGCTTAGATTAAAATAGAGTCTGACTTAATCACCGTAAAATGTATCGCCATCTTCGCTTGGCCGCCGGCGATGAGAGCTGTTCATGGCGAGAGCAAAGAACCAACTGACTGACCAATTGAGCGAACGACTTAAAGCGATCTTCATACATAACGCACGAACAACAACACGTGTAT